TTGATATTTGTATCCCTAAAGAAGAAGAAACCAGAAGAAAATCATGACAACAATAGCACCACTGGTTTGGATGTCACAAAATGAACAGAGATATTAGTGACTGGTTTTCTTACCTATCGCCTAACCCCAGTACATATCCCACCATGGACATGACAGCCAGTGATCGTGTGTAGTTGGTACGTCGATCGAACCAAACCTAATAAGCAATACACAAATAATTATTATTTATTTTCAGTCAAATTTCAGGGTTGTATGAACTAGACCAGCTTTCTCCTTCCATTACTGATTTAGTAACAAACAATTATATTCTCATGCATCATAATACCGCCAGTGTTTGTCATCATACATCTTTGAGTCTTCCTTTATTCATTTTAAAATTATCTCAATTGACATTTTCAGTTCAACAATCATGCTACCACTGACAAAAACCTAATCAAAAATAATCAACCACTCCAAAAATTCTGTCACCTCCAAAAATAATTATTTGTTCATGGTTTCAATTAATGGATGGATTATGATATATATATATATATCCCATAATATGTCAATGACTATTGACCTCTGAACTTACAATATATCCCATATAATATCAATGACTACTGACCTCTGAACTTACAATATATCCCATATAATATCAATGACTACTGACCTCTGAACTTGGACTCTTGAGCCACAATAACTTAGCTAAGTCATCACCATTAGTATGCTCAAGAGCATGCTCAAATACTTCAACTTTTTGCATCAATGTCAGGTGATCATAATCTGGTGCCATCTGATTAAATAAAACAAATCACATGACATGATAATTTTAGTAATGTAACAAAAAAAATAGATGAAAAGAAAGTGTTACTGTTTTTTTGTAATCAATGGCTTTCCTGAATCGACTAAGCAGACACTGAGTACACTAGCAGCTAATGGCAGTCATGGCGACAAGTGGTTGCCATGGCAGCAAGTAATGACCATGGAAGCTAGTGGTTGCCATGGCAGCAAGTAATGACCTTGGCAGCTAGTGGTGGCCATGTCAGCAAGGAGTGGCCATGACAGCTTGTGGTGGCCATGGCAGTAAGGGGTGGCCATGACAGTAAGGAGTGGCCGTGGCAGCTAGTGGTGTCCGTGGCAGCTAGTGGTGTCCGTGGCAGCTAGTGGTGTCCGTGGCAGCTAGTGGTGGCCATGGCAGCTAGTGGTGGCCATGGCAGTAAGGGGTGACCATGGCAGCAAGGGGTGGCTATGGCAGCAAGGGGTGGCTATGGCAGCAAGGGGTGGCCATGTCAGCTAGGGGTGCCCATGACAGTAAGGGGTGACCATGGCAGCTAATGGTGGCTATGACAGCAAGGAGTGGCTATGGCAGCAAGGGGTGGCCACGTCAGCTAGTGGTGCCCATGACAGTAAGAGGCGACCATGGCAGCTAATGGTGGCTATGGCAGCAAGGGGTGGCCACGGCAGCAAGGGGTGGCTATGGCAACAAGGGGTGGCTATGGTAGCAAGCATTGTATGAAGTGTGTAACCTATTGCTTCTGGATTGACATCAAACGTTATGTATTAACTTTTGGTTTATTTGCATGTCAATTCAGCAACATTGGTTGCTATAGATACATGATGGTTGAGTGGGTCTCACCACACACGGCTATATGTATACTGTCCCTTTAAGTATATAACTTTGAAAGCTATATTTTTATACTCACTCTTAGCATAATCCTATGTTCAATGTTGAGTAATATTTTCTTCTTTTCTCTGTAATCCCTAATAAGGGTGTGTAGCGTGTCACAATGAGGCACCCAACCAATCAGACCAGAGTTTGTTGACAACGGAATCACAGAATACCTTTGAATGCTGTTGATGTAGATTTATTTAAATTATGCAATGTGTTATGTATTTACCAATGAATGAAAAGATGACATAGTCCCAGTAAATTATAATTTAAAACAAATTGTAGTCTCAACAGGATTTTATCTACTTCACAATGATTTTATTTTATGTAATGATGCAGTAATTAATTAAGAAGATAAACCAATCAAGACATGTGGCTCGAAGGGAACATACAGCTAATTTGAATATGATCTATAACATAAAGAGATGACCATCATGCACCAATAAATGCCCCATTTTAATTTTGGATCATTATCAGTTCTAGAATGGCTGCCAGTCACATCCATATATTTAATTGGCATGCCACTTCATATTTTGTATGGTCACTCCATATTTGGAACGGTCACTCCATATTTGGAATGGACACTCCATATTTGGAATGGTCACTCCATATTTGGAATGGACACTCCATATTTGGAAAGGACACTCCATATTATGACATTTTACTGATAAGACTGCTAAATTTGATGATGATAAGACAAAAATTGTTGTGGTTACACCAGAAGAAGACAATTTTAAGTGAAATTTAATTAATATTCTGAAAACTAAACATACAACACATACTAAAAATGAACTTGGCTGAGATCATAAACAGGTTTGAATTATTACAACTACAACAGAGTCAAAGACAGACATTTTCCTGCCATATATCTCACACTTCATCTACGATAATACAGACAAGGTAAAAATCAACTCACTAAATTCAATATCGATGACCTAGAAATTATAAAAGTTCATAAAAGGCTCCTTACTTGAGATGTCTAATGAATGTTTCTGGGTCATTAGCGAGTAGCGTATTTACCAAACCAAATAACTGCATGACACGTTCATCCTGTCTCAAATCCTCATGTCCTTTTAATAAGAACATAAACTCTTGACCGTTGCTTCCTGTATCACAGAACAATCAAAGAAAGCTTAGAAAGAACTCCCATGTGCTGAGAGTATTGGAGACACATTAAATATAATTCGAAATTACTTAGCTGAAAACTAATTATGCAAATCAGAAAATTAATATGAACAGATTTGAGTGTAAAACTAATGAGGTCTGCGCAATGTAACAGAAAATCTATGTTTCCAAGTTTAATTGAAATGTGATTAGAACCAAAAAATTATGAATTATTATGTTTATTAGGGAATTAATATGAACAGATTTTTGCCCCAACTAATTAGGTTTGTACATTGTCATAGAGCATCTTTGTACTAAGTTTCATTGAAATGGAATAATTAGTACTTTAGATATCATTTGTGAGAGCTTAAAATTGGTTAATTATGCAAATTAGGTAATTAATATGTACAGATTTTAACCCACAATTATCCAGGTCTGTCTATTGTCCTATAGCATCC